GTCCTGACTTTGCTCCCATCTGGGTGTGTTTCCTTTCAACTTCAGTGTGGTGGTGTACACCAAGGAGGCCAAATGCCAAAACAGTTATCCTTGTTCCAATATTTCTGGTCCTGACTGTAAAACAATACTGTCATAAAAGTTGAGAGACAAAAGCAGAATTACGAACTAATGAAATTACTAAAAAAAAAATGCCTTGTTAAGCTAAAACAAAAAAAAGTTTCATGGTGCCTAAATAGAAGTACAGATTTGCCTTGTACTTCAGAGCAAAAAACCTGCATCATTACTGAATGAAAATGTTGTACAAGCATCATAGATTCAAAAGATACTTACATACTGCTTATTTTAAATATCCCAAAATGATTTATAGTAATTATAAAAATGTACAGAAGAAACAAGATAAAATAGGACAACAGAGTAAAATGAATACAGACAGTAAAAAGAAGAAATGTATGGGAGGAGAGATTTAACTCTAGGGAAGAACAACATAAAAATGAGTTTTGAAAAGAAAGCTAAAACACATCAGCACTGGGTCTGACCTACCATGGATATCTTATCTATTTATAGGTTGCCAAACTACATGCAGCTGAGAGAGAGCTCTGTGAGATAGCAGAGAAGCTGAAATCTTCAAGGACAAGTAAGACTACATAGTTTCCATTAAAACTGGGAAAATAGCAAAGGAACATGTCATTGTATATATGAGTGCAGGCTGTCTTACACAGATTCCTAAACATTTAAAAATGGAGTGAAACCCAAATGAGTCTAGCCATATATGTCATGGAAAGTATTATTTTGAACTCATTCCTTCAGTGGTGTATTTACGTACCATGCAAAGTCAGATTGTAGAATACAATTGATTAATGTAGGGCTGGGTGACTTTGCCAGTCACTCTCTCTCAGCCCAACTCAACTTGCAGGGTTGTTGTTGTGGGGAAAATAGGAGGAGGAAGGAGTATTAGGTACATTCGTCACCTTGAGTTATTTATAAAAATAAGAAAGGCAGGATAAAAACTGTTTTAAAAAAACAACTTTGGAAGAATTTTTCATTGCCAACAACTTGTAATAGTAGAAATGTATTTTCCAAGAAAAAAGATAATTGATGTCATCATGTCATATTTTTTGTCCTCAGGGCCTTCTTAAACACTCACAAGGTAGAGGGAGATCTGTTCTGTATGTCAAGTGTTGTGACAGAGAAGGCATGCTTCCTGTCCCACAAAGTGACATTGTTTAATTGATGGGACAGGAAGCATGCCAGCAGTATCAGGTCTTACAGGATAGGCAGCGATAAGTGGAGATAGATTGTAGAGAGTAAGGAAGATGACTTGACAAAAATATTCAGGAACCATTATCTAGGCAAAAGGGGCTGACATACAGGTGAAACTTGAAAAATTAGAATATCGTGCAAATGTTCATTTATGTCAGTACGGCAACTCAAAAGGTG